AACTAAGAATGGTCTCCATCAGCCTCCCCCCTAATGTTCGAATATGAGCCTGTTAAGAAAGTAGAGAAGATAAGAAAAAATAACTGAAATAGGCAAGATTGCATTAAGCTAGAAGAAAAATTACTATACCAGCTCCTCATCCCACCAAGCCTCCCAACTTTCTTCTCCTTTAACTCCAATTCCACCTCTATACAGAAGCCAGTTTGTCCAATCTCTGAAGTCCTCCACCGTCCTGCAATGGGCCAGGAAATGAACTTTTAAAATGGAACAACACAAAAACTTATATACAGTGTTGAAGCATAGTGAGGTAAACTTACTTTTGCCACTCAAAGCCAAATGGATTAAACAAATATGGTGCAAATAGCCAAGAAATAGCCAAGAACCAGCTGCTAATCGTGAGAAGAATGTACGATAAAGCACCTATGCTAAAGCCATACACAAGATATACAACCAACAAAAGTACAATCTCCATTCTGAAAAAGTGAAATAACAATATTTAGAGCTTTCCCCGAGTAGGGATATGCATAATATATTAAAATGCATGCATATGCAAAACGGACATAATTACAAAAGAATAGGATACGAGAGAGAGAGAGAGAGAGAGAGAGAGAGAGAGAGACCCCTTGGCAAAATGACTGCGGGCATAGAGCCTATAGTTCTCAGAAAACTTAATGTGTCGAACAACAAAGCCCCTACCAGTCGCTTGATACTGTTGAAAATAATAAAAGTTATTTGCTAAGCTAATGTTAGTTAGAGTAACATGTGCATAAAGAGCTTAATAGCAAACATACCCTAGCTCCACCATGAAGAATAGTCCGTCCAAAGTAATGTGTTCTTGTGCCCAAAGAGAAAGTGAAAAACACGGTACAAAGTTGAAACTGCATTGTTACAAAACTAACAATTGCCTGTAGTGAAAGAATAAAAGGAGCCAATAAGAGAAATGCATGTGATTTTGTAAAGAATATAGTCTCAGGAAAAAGATAGAAGAGCAAACTCATCAATAAGCACATAAAAGAAACATGAAAGTCACAAACATGAAAAGGTTCACTAAATTTTCATACTTTACATGAGATCTTGAAGAGATCAGTATTATCACTGTTAAGTAATATTTTTCAATAACATTTTATATTTTTAATATGTTCACAAATTTTTCCAATACATTTACTAAGTATGTAGTAATATATTTT